AGCTGTGAAAGTTTCGTGGCAAATAGTGCATTAATTTGGATAATATTTGTTCCCAGTAAATTAAAAGCCAAATTGCATGTAAGTATTGCTTTATTTTATTTAACATTAATTTTCAAAGAATTGGAGATCTCCAGAAGTTATGCAAGAATTTTGAACAGATGAGTAGAAATTTGGTGTTAATAAAGATTATTTTGAAAAAAATGTGCGGAACTATCATTGCTTAGGCCCTTAGTTGACTTCTAATTGAACATTGGCGTTCCTGTTTTTAATCAGTGGTTCTGTCATGTGTGATTTAAATGTGAATAAGATGAAAAACTGTAAAACTATATGCTAGGCAGAAATTCACTGAGCCCTGAACAGACTCATCTTATTTCCATTTAATTTCAACCATGTTCATTCCATATGCTTACTCAAGCTTTTCAATTTTAGTAGGAAAAGAATATCAAAAGTTCATTTTTAAAAATTAACATCTATTAATGTGGTCACCAAGACTGCTCTAATGCAGTAAAACTGAACCACATCAGTGGCAGTAAGTCGAAGCCTGCTGCTGGGAAATGCTGCCCCTCAGAAATGAATCTGTCCTTCTTAACCTTTATGTCCATGTAGGAAGTGGTCTTAGGTCTTCTACTGTGGCTTGTTTTATTATATAATTGGAGGCTCCCAAGTCTGTTCTCCACTCTTGGTGGGCAGTGCAGATATTTGAGCCTCTCTAAAATGGCACATTTACATCTGGCAGAGATTGATTTTTCTCCTCAGGTGTGCAGAGCTGGCGATGGGGTAGTGCTGTGTACTGATGGGGGAGCTTGCAGAGTATCTGCAATATCGGGGGTTAGAGCAGGGCTTTGTTAAAGGCCCGAATTGCAAGTGGGAGTGGGGACCAGAAATACATTGTGAAAGACTTTGCTAGCTGTCTTCTGAATAAATGCTATTTCAAAGGCCAGTCCTAATACCATTTATGTAGTTTTAGATAGGAGGTAACTGGAAAATGGCTTCTTAGAACAATATATATAACAATAAATATTTTGGTTCTGGTTACTTAAAATTGTCATAGTTCATTTAATTTGAAAATTATGCCAGCTGTGAGTGAACCTCCCAATAAAGTCAGCTTTACATGATTTGACTTGACTTCACAGTTAGAATAATGTTTCCATTTAAGATTTTTTTCTCTCTTTCTCTCCTCTAATTAAGGACCTGGGAAGAGCTAACAGGCGGAAGCCCAAGGTAAGTACACCGTGTCAGGCCCTGCTCAACCAGCCCTCTGGTTTGCAACATCTAGTCGTACTGGATCAGAGACTAGTAGAAATATTGGGTGATGGTTTGTGGCTTATAGTGCTCTTTTTCTGTTCTGATTTATATCAGCTTTTTTTTTTTCTTTTTAATCTTCTTTAGCCTCCAGCACCTGAAGATCTTGCAGTAGTTTGTTTCACAAGTGGAACTACAGGTAAATTTTGAAATAGAAGTGCTTTTATGCGTGTTCTCTGGAAGTCTACCCCACTCCGCCCACTTTTTTGGCTGACTTACTAGCTAACTGTAGCTGGACTGAAAGCAGAAGAGATGGAAGGGATTCAAGTGCTATCTTGGTGCTCTGTAAGATACCCTCAGAATCTGAGAGTGACATATATGTCCTCATTCACTGAAGGTAACGTTAGATTCACCCATCTTCCTAGGGCAAACTATGTCAGTGATTCCCAGGAAGAAACTTCCAGGTTTTTCCTCTCTTATTGCTACATGCACCCTCTAAAATTTGGCAGTGTTAATAAAGATTGTTTAAGATAATTTTAAGATAAGTCATTGAAGGATTGCAGGTCGCTTAGGAATCGGTGTTCCTCAACATTTGGCTTTCACGGGTGTATCTAACAGTAGAGTCTTTGTGGCCCTAATTATAAGGGTTTCCAGAATTCCTTCATTTATGCATTTCTTTGATGGAGTCTCTGCACTCTAACTTTGTTCTGCTTTGTGTGTGCTGCACAGGCAACCCGAAAGGAGCACTGATCACTCATCGAAATGTAGTGAGCAATTGTTCAGCTTTTATGAAAATGACACAGGTAACTTTCTGGGATATTGTCATCTTTCTTCCCATTCACTGGTTGACATTAGGCCTTGAGAATGAAAGTGACAAAGGTGGCACCACTGTGTGAGGTCCATGTTGTATTTAAACACGATTTGAAATATAGAATTGAAGTTGGAACTTTAATACAGCCTAAGGTCACCTTCTCTCCAATGGTTTTCATTGTGGACCTAATCTCCAACTCTTGTTTGTGACCATTAAGGTGAATTGACAGATGGAATTTACTACAGCTTTTATCTTGTAAAACTTTATTTGGATACTCCCCTATAAATGTGTCCAGGACAGGACAGAGAAGAGATGGACTTTCTTGTGCTTTCATCCACTGTCCCAGTGTTGGGGAAATAATTTAAGTTGTCAATGAAATGTTAAAAGCTGCTGAAGGTTTTTGAATAATTATTACTTATTGTGGTCAGTTGGATTTGCATTATATGAGAAGGATTAAAGCCTCGAACTTAAATTAATTTGCCATAATTTAAAAGTTTGCTACCCCAGTGTCCTAGTCTATTCAGGTTGCCATAATAGAATGCCACAGTCTGCTGGTTTAAACAACAAACGTTTATTTTCTCACACTTCTGGAGGCTAGAAGTCCAAGATTGACTGCCAGCAAATGCGGTTTCTGGTGAGGGCTCTCTTTCTGGCTTGCAGACCGCCACCTTCTCGCTGTGTCCTCACGTGGCTTTTCTCTGTGCATATACAGAGAGAGTAAGCTCTGGTGTCTCTTCCTCTTCTTATAAGGACACCAGCCTT